CTCCCAGGCGTCCCTATGCTACAGTGTTTTAATGCAAAAGTGTTCAAATGTAAGAACCATAACAATTGTTGCTTTAAGTCACACATGTATTCACTTAGCAAATTTTGATTTAATATCCACCACACCTCAAGAGACTTTCCATTAGATACCAGGGTCATAAAGTGAAATAAGATATGGTTCTTATACTCAAGAAGTTTACAATACAATACAACATAAGCCAACTAATAACTATAGTATGAAGTGATAGATGCTTCATTTATCCAATGCCAATAGGATCCAAAGAACGGCAAGTATATCAGACTCCAGAGTTTCTTGGCTTTAGCTTTCCAGAAGTGATGGTTCTTGAGGTAGTATTAGAAAACAGTAGCAGTTGATTTAGATGCGCTAATGGAGGAAACAATGTTAGACAAAAGTATCAGAGCAGTACTGAAGGCACAGAGGTTTAAAACCTCATAATCCAGGGCACCTGGGTGGCTCAGTCAGTGAAACATCCGACTCTTGGTTTCAGCTCAGGTCATGATCTCATGGTTTGTGGGTTCGAGCCCATGTCGGGCTCTACTGACAGTATGGAGCCTGCTTGGATTCCTTCTCTCCCTCTCTCTGCCCTTCCCCAGTTGTGTTCTCTCTCTCTTCCTCTCAAAATAAACATTTAAAAAAAATTAAAACCTCATAATCCTGTTTAAAAACTTTAAGTAGCTTAGAATGGCTGGGGGAACAAAGAGAATGAACTGTGGAGAGGGAGATCAGCTTGGGGAGACTAGATTATTTAGGTTGTCTGTCATAACGTGAGGAGTTTGAACTTCTCTTAAAGGTGTGGGATACCATGGAAGAACTTTAATCATGGAAATAAAGTACATTTGAGAAAGATAATTCTAGAAGCAATGTGTAGATGGGTTAAAGTAGGAACGGAGAGGAAGCAGAATTGATGTGGGGCTAATACACATGTAAAGTGGTAAGAGCTTGAGCAAAGGAATAGGCACTGAGAATAGTGAAAGGGATGGATTCAAAAGTAAGAAACCCAAGGACTTGAGACCAAGTAGATACACAAAGTGTGAGAAAAATCTACACTGAGAGCCTTGGGCAATTGAACAGAATAGTGCTACACAGTAAGTATAGTTGATCCTTGAACAATATGGGCTTGTTCTGTGCAGGTCCACTTACACGCAGATTTTTTTTTTTTTTTTTTTGGTTACAGTACTGAAAACAATTTTATTATATATATATATTTTTTTAATATGAAATTTATTGTCAGATTCCATACAACACCGAGTGCTCATCCCAACAGGTGCCCTCCTCAAGACCCATCACCCACCCTCCCCTCCCTCCCACCCCCCATCAACCCTGTTTATTCTCAGTTTTTAAGAGTCTCTTATGGTTTATATACTAATGTTTATTTATTTTTTGAGAGAGCACACAACGGGAAGGGGCAGAGAGAGGAGAGTGAAGATCGGGCAGGCTCACCTGACAGCAGCTAGCCAGACACAGGGTTCGAACTCATGACCTGAGCCAAAGTCTGACACTCAACCAATTGAGCCACCCAGGGGGCCCAGTACTAAAAATGATTTTAATAACATTTTATTTTCTCTAGCTTACTTTACTGTAATAATGCAGTATACAATACATATAATATACAAAATATGTATCGGTTGACTATGTTATCGGTAAGGGGTTCTGGTCAACAGTAAGTTATTAGTAGTTAAGTTTTGGGGGAGTCAAAAGTTATAGGTGGATTTTCGACTGCACCGGGGATCAGCATCCCTAACCTCGTTTAGGGTCCCATCATATTATACATGACTGACAGAATGAGGTCATGATCAAATGAACAGTGGCTCCACGATGAGGCACTTATTCTTTATCCTGTGAAGACATCCAAAAAAACGTTCTCCTTAGAAGTTTGTAGAACCATAAAATAAAAATGGAAGGCTATAACAGGAGCTTTTCCTCATTATCAGATACAACACTTCCCGTCAACCCACTGAATTCTCTTTGCTCTTCTCTTGCGTGGCTTGTTATACAGGTTCGGTTCCTTCTACTTTTTCTTTTTTTTCTTTTTTTTTTTTTTTAATTTTTTTTTAACGTTTTTTTATTTTTGAGACAGAGAGAGACAGAGCATGAATGGGGGAGGGTCAGAGAGAGGGAGACACAGAATCTGAAACAGGCTCCAGGCTCTGAGCTGTCAGCACAGAGGCGACAAGACGAACTCGAGCTCATGGACCGTGAGATCATGACCTGAGCCGGTCAGCCGCTTAACTGACTGAGCCACCCAGGCGCCCCTCCTTCTACTTTTTCAAGCACTTTCACTGTAGATTTTTGTCCTTGCTGGCCAACTTAGAGGCGACTACAGTTTATCACAGTACATGTTTTATTTATGCAAGGACTATAAACCATAATCTCACATATATACACATGCTAAATACTGGGCGGTAAGCACAGCCTATTGTATACAATTCTCTCCTGAAGTAACTCACAACTTTGACTGGAAATTCAAAGTAATTAATAAAATGTGTCTTATAGATGTGTCAACACTATGGATTGTTCTAAGTCAATTTACCTGTGTAGAGTCACTGGTTCATTAAGAACATATGTTCATATAGTAAAACATTTAAAACAGGAACATACACTTTTACCTGTATTATACTCTAGTTACTCCAGCATTCTAATGTATATTCTTTCCTAACTAAAATATAGTACTCCTTTTTTTTCCTAAAAAAAGTGAGTTTTCCCAAAAACTCTGTAAAACTTTATTAATAAGAGTAGAGACACTAAAATGAATATATAGACTTCAATAAACAGTATAGCTATTGGGAAAGCAGCTCTATACCACAAACAAGTAAAGACCTTTTAAAGATCTAGAGAATGATGGAATACACTTGATATAAAATGTATGTAACATCACCATAACATATAATTTCATATTTAATATTTTAAAGTTAATCAAGAAATATTTTAGACTCTTGAAGACTGTTAAGAATTTTAAAAGCCAGTTATTATATTGTCCATGTTTGAAAATATAACCATGTAATTAAAAGCTCTCCTATTAGACTGACTACTAAATAATAGATTTTATTACACTGAAATCAGAGAACAATGCAGACAGTAAGGCAAATGCAGAATGATTTATTGGGCCAAGAATTATAATTTAACAAAATATACAGATAACATATTGAATACGTATTCCTTAACTCTACATTGAAATAACAGTGGAAAGTAATAAGAAATTAACTATTCCTAAACTCCTATATAGACAGACTTCTTGCAAACAAACACATATCAGTACTTATATTAAGAGCGTGATGGTTTATTTAAGAGTAAGATGTGACATTAACATGTTAAATCCCAGAAGAATCTTCCCTTTTTTCCCAATATGACAGCCTACACAATACATTTTGTGATTATATTCACAAGATGACCCAACAATGTTAAGATTTGTTATGAATAAAAAATTATCAATGAAAAACAGTACATGCATATTGAGCACCCACAGAATTAGTCATTTTAATATGAGAACAATTTGTAGGTTTTAAAATGACAGTAGTTGGATACATTTTTCTAAGAATAAGAATGTGATTCAGAAATGGTGTTACTATCGAGTTACTATACTTACTATAGACTTATTTCTGCTAAAATGTCTTCCAGTATATTGTTTTAATTACAATAACCTAATGGCGGAGGTGAATTCCAAGGAATAAAGAATTTAGCTAGTGAAAATAGCACTAAAATGTTCTTTCTGATATTTTAGTGGCGAGTTTTAGTACCTACTCGAAAAGTACTACTTTGAATGTACTGTGTTTCCACACATCACACAACTGATAATGCTGCCAATGGCATAGATGAATAAAGTTATATGCCAAAAGTCATATTCTACAACTTATTTTACTCAACACCATTCTTTTCTAATTTATGTTATCATAATATATAACATTTAAAAGTATGAACTTGGAAACAACTGAGTTTTCTCTTCTCTCTGTATTTCCAAGCAGAAGTGAGGAGAAGTGAAGGAAAATTTAGAAAGGATAATTATAACATATTTAATCATTAAATAATATCTATTGAGAAGAAAATGTTTCAGTTGTTTTAGTATAACAAAAGGAGGTGTTTAGAATAACATACATTCATTTTAGGACACAAACATCCTTTCACATTTTGTTAAGAATTAGAAAATTATCCCTTGGTCCATACGTGTGATAATGCACTTTTTGAGATCTTTACTTAAAAATCTCAGAAAACATTCCCCCTCCCATTTTACACTGTTTCTAGCTAACTAGTAATTCTGTGTAGGTAAGAAGGATTGCAGTTAAAAATAGAATAAAAGAACGAACAGAGCTGATCACTCAAATAATTACACTGTGCTCAACTGGACCAAAAAACAAAACAAAACAAAACAAAAAACAGCACATAATTTAGAAGAATTCACAAGACAGGTCAGTGTTTACATAAGCATTTTAGGGGTAAGCCTCCATCATTCTAATAATTTATCTTATGGAAAACATCTACAATCACCCCACAGGGAAAATTTCCTTTGCATATCCGTTAATTCCTTTAACATTTTCATGTTTGAAACAAGCTGAACTATTTGAAGTCTTATAGGCTTTGCACCCAATTCTAGTCTATCAGATTGAGAGTGTTGGCAATCATATTTTGGGGAACAGGTAGCAAAAAAAAAAAATGGATGTGTAACGCAGTTACTATATACATGCTCCCATATAGTTTATGAAGACATAACTTTCCTATGAAGCCTACTTAAAAATGACCTTTAAAATCTATTCAAGATAAGTAATAAATCAAAATGACAGGACTTTACAAACTTAGAGACACTCTTACATGCACATGAACATACATGTAACTTCATCTATCTTTCTGATTTCTCTTTTCAGACTCAATCTTTTCGAGGAAAAAAAAAAGTCCTAGAAAAATATATTCCAGTGTTTGACTGTATTTTACAATCACTTCATTCTCTCCTTTAAAATGCTTCGTGCTGAAAACACATTCATTTTGAAAAACTAAATCCCCCATGGGGTACGTAAGATATTAACAAAATCTTCATCATTTACTATCCCTATACTTAGACCTTCATAGTAATCTTCAAATTCACCATACGACACTTCATCAGACTTGCTGCAGGCATCTTTTAGTGTTTCTAGAAAAGATAATTTGATTTCTTCCTCTGTGGAATGGCCTGTAAAATAGTACTGACTGTGAAACATTCTCCTTAGAAGACTAGTAAAGTGACTGATGATGATAAAGAAATACTTAATCACCTTATGAAATCTCTTCCACAATTTGAAATCTTATGTCAAACTTCCCTCCAATTTATTTAAACATTTTCTTGCATGAATCAGAATTTAATGGTGATGAGTTTAGTACACATTTGAGGCCTCTTTTAAGCCTCTGATACAATGTAATACATATAGGCAAAATAAGAGTCACTAATGTAGACATTCTTCTATTTCTTAATATTTTAGAGGACTTGGCTTTATTTCCATTAGAAATAAGGAAAGAAGAAAACAATTTCCAAGATTTATAGGCTGTTAATGCAGTAATGCAACGTATGAGAAACATCCTTATATTCAGGCATTAGTTATTTTATGAATCAGTTACTCATAATTGCAGCTAGAAAATATTACTGCGAACATAGGATTCAGAGGCCTATGAAAACCTTTGCTGGAAGAACTTTCACTGGATTAAATCACCCTATTTTAAACTCTGCAATTAAGTAGGTTATTTCCACTAGGTTATGTTAAATATGATTAATTTCATTCTATAGGAAGATGCTATTAGGACATAATGTAAAAAATTATAATTTTTTAGTTTGTCATTTTAAGAGAGAACATAAAATATCTGATTCAGTCTTTTAATTCATTTGCTTTGTTTCATTCATAAAGAGAACAATAAGCTATTTAAATAAGTAGCTCGGATTGTATTGTGGTCAGTTAAAGGGAAGGAACCATCTCAGCCACTACCCTCCTCACACAGATCTACTCTCAGGATCCCAGCACCGAACAGGAAAAAAGACATTCATTAAGTTTTTAATAAGAGGAAGTAATAATAAGATGGAAGTAAGCTATAGAAGGCGGTCAGGTAATACTCAAAGAAAATAGACGCCCATATATATAAAGGCAAAAAAGGGTCAGAGAAATCTATGTGACTCTAAATCATTCTGAAGTCATGTCACATTTCAAAATAACACACTTAAATGGGAATACCACCTTGTCTAATGAGGTGGGCAAAATTAGGCAAGAGTTGGATCTTTTTCAAACACCAGAGGTCTCTAATGGACTCGGTAATAATTCATCGTAAAGTGCCTTTCCAACTGAAATAATGCTTTGGATAAAATGTTTGCTGTCTTTTAAAAACATGCATGCGAGGGGCGCCTGGGTGGCTCTGTCGGCAGAGCATCTGACTCGGTTTCGGCTCAGGTCATGATCTCACAGCTAGTGAGTCCTAGACTCCCATCAGACTCTGCTGACAACACACAGCCTGTTTGGGATTCTGTCTCCCTTTCTCTCTGCCCCTCCCTCATTCTCTCTCTCTCTCTCTCTCTCTCTCTCTCTGTCAAAAATAAAGAAATAAAAATAAATAAATATTTAAAAATAAAAACTAAAAACATGCATGAGAAATACAGAACAAGTGATTATTTTATTTTAAACACAGGCTGAATGAACAACGACTGAATAAGTATGTTCTGCAGAAATGGTAATATAAAACAATAAATTGAATTTGTGATTTAATGTTAGTCAAGGATTAAAATTAATCAAGATCTGATCTTTATAAAACATATATACCTGTTGGCAGTAGAGATTTATTCCTTTGTTTACCATCCGTACTTTAGGATAAATGAGTTTTAACACTTTTTTAAATAAAAACATTATTTTTTTAAATTTTATAAGTTTTTATTTATTTTGAGAGAGAGAGTGTGAGCAGGGGAGGGGCACAGAGAGAGGGGGAGAGAAAGAATCCCAAGCAGGCTCTGTGCTGTCAGCACAGAGCCCAAAGCAGAGCTCAAACACAAGACCATGAGATCACGACCTGAGCCAAAATCAAGAATCAGATGTTTAACCAATGGAGCCAGCTATGCATCTCAACATTTTTTATTTAAATTTGTGTTTCAAATACTCAAGAATTTTATACTTCCTCTGTACTCCCACCTAGGAAATACATAACTTTTATCACTTGTAACTAACTTCTTTCTCTCCTCTTAGAGACCATCAAGTACTTTAATGAACAATGTTAAGTTCTATTATCTTCACAAGAAATATATTTGGAATATCTTATTTCTATTAAAGCTGAAAATAGCCTTTTCTAATAAATTATTTATGCAAAGTAAAAAAAAGTATTTTCTACAGTTAGATTGTGCTACAAAAGCCTTAATTTAAATGAATTATAAATTGTAAACAATCTATATTCCAGAGATGGGTATGTAAATATATTATAATTTGTAATGATAGACAACAATAAAGGTTTTTTGTTTCTCTTTTTTAAAAAACAGTAATGAGTTTTCCTCTTTTTAAGGCTTTTTATGCCTTGGCTAGATCTTCCTTAATGAGAATGCAAAGACAAGGTATGGAATTTCTTAAATCAACAAAGGCTTACCCAAAAACAAAAACAAAACCCTCACCAACAATTCCATGACATCTAACAAAACTAAAGCTACTTAATTAAGATTATTAGAGGGGAGAAAATAAAGAGAAACACAATATAGGGTGTTGAAATCACCTAATTCTGAAATAAGTAAACTATCTTGTTCTTATATTTAGTAAGACTAATTAAAGGAGAAAAGCAGAGAATGACAAAGGTTTAAAGGAAAAGATACGCTAAATCCAATTAAATAATGCTAGAAATTTTCTTATGGCAACTACAGTTCATTTAAAGTCACTGATAAGTACATTAAACTATTTTGACCTGAAACAGATTATTAGAAATTCTTTTAATATTAGAAAAAGGAAAATTCTAGAATAATAGTATTCTATAGTACTTAATAGTAGATGATCAAAATTATAAATTAGAAAGAAACTATTCATAACATATAAATTATAAGTGGTCAAAAAATATACATAAATGTGTTTAGCCTTCCAAGTAGCCAGGGAAATGAAAATAAAATTATTTTTAGTCTATCAGATAGGCAAAATTTTGTGGTGTTAGCATGGTAGGAGTGTAACTGAATTCTCCATCCAATGGCAATATAGCCATCTTACAATGCAATTTGAAAGTATCCATTAATATTTGAAATGCAGATATCCTAAGTCATAAAATTACCCCCTCCACCCTGGAAACAGCAGAAAATGAGCCTATGGAGTCACAAATATGCCTATTCACTTCTTCATTGTTTAGAAATTAAGTCTACCAATAGGAGACTAGATAGGTAGGTAAATTGTAGTATACTGATTTTTACAAAGAGTAATATATAACAAATAAAAATAAGGTGGATCAATGGGATTAATATGGAAAGAGCTCCAAAAGGTATTTTTGAGTGTCAAAAGTAAATTACATAGCAATGTGTTTAGTGTACCTTTCATGTTAAAAAAAAAAGAAAGAAAAATCTTCAAGAAGTATTAGATCTTTATAGTACATATACATATTCATACAAAATTCATGGAGTAAGGATTGAAATGTATATACATTAAATGACAGTAACTGTTACCTCTATAGAGGAAAGTATAATGAAAAGAGGAGAGTTACTATGGCCAAATGCTTTCATTATAATAAGAATTCATTTATAAATCAGTTATGTAAAAATTAATGTCTGAAGAAATATAGTAGGCAATACATCTCTAAAATTACAGATGTTCCTTGACTTATGATGAAGTTATGTATGATAAACCAATCAGTTGTAAATTGAAACGGTCCTAAGCTGAAAATGCATTTAATTCACCTAATCTACTGAACATCATAGCTTGGCCTAGCCTACCTTACACGTGCTCAGAACACTTACATTAGCCTACAGCTGGGTAAAATCACCTGATGTCTATTTTATAATCTAGTTGAATATCCCATGTAATTGACCGAATACTGTACTGAAAGCTAATGGCTGGAAGCGTGTGGGTTGCTGACCCTCTCAATCGCATGGCTGACTGGGAGCTACAGCTTGTCGCCCCCGCACGACAGCAGCAGAGAGTACCCTACCGCACGGCGTTAGCCAGGGGAAAAGATCAAAATCCAAAATTTGAAGTAGTTTCTACTAAACAGTTAATGTTTTCACACTATCATGAAGTCAGAATACCGTTAAGTTGAACCATCCGAAGTTGGGGACCACCTGTATGTATGCATGTATTTTCTAGATGCTCAAATTTTGACAAACATATGTATGCTCATTACACGTATACCTCCATTCCTAGAGAGAGACGTTCACTTTCTGCCTTAAATCTTCAAGTGTAAGCAGATACAGTAAAACCAACTCAGAGAACTTGCACATGTAATTATCTGTCCTCTAAATCTATCCTGTTCCAACTCAGATTCCTCACCATCTCCTCAGTAAGAAATAAAAGTTCAATCTCAGTTTATGAATATCAGAGAAAAAAATAAGAAGACAATAGACCTATGAATTTTTAAAGGAAGGCCAAATGACTCTTATGTTTCTGGTTTAAAAAATAATTGTTTATTTCCTCCCTTAATAGCCTCAAGTCCACACTGTAAGTTAATACGATTTAAAGATATTACTTTTATTAACTAACATTTTAGAAATGTAATGCATTTTGACTCATAATAATTACCTGAAATTACTTGAGGATGCTTCTTTGCACAATAACATTTTCTTATGTCTATAATAGGCACACAGCCAGTTTTGTTGAAATCCAGTTTCATAAAGACCTAAATAAAGAGAGATGTTATTTTTTTTTCTATAAACTCATTAGACATGAGAATCTAACTCCCTATTCTGAAGAAGGTTATTTATGATCTCTAAACAAGCCAGTTTAAAAGTACTAAACTGGTATATGAAGGAAGCATCATGAATCCAGGAAGATATTAGAGCAAGATGTTAGGTAACCTACGCTGGAGTATTATTTCTACCACTTCCTGGAACCCTGACCTTGAAAAAGTAACCTTACCTCTGTTGCACTGGCTTTCCTCTCACACTTTAGAGTTGAGTAAAAGACATTTCTGGTAACTTCCTGCTCTAGAATTTACAGGAAACTGATAAATGGCCAAGACAAATTACTTTGATTCAAAAAGTGAACATGTAAATATTCACCACTAAAATCAATGAGAAATTGCAATACTTTTTAAATGGCCTGTGTTACTCTATTTCCTAAAATTTAACACTACCTTTTGATATGCCAGTTGTTTTATTGCTCCTCTAACTCAATACAATTTTTAGTATCATAAAATACAAAATATTTTATGGAGGAGTGGGTATATAAAAACACAAAACCAACTCAAAACAACAGCCCACATTTGCAAAAGAGTCGAAACTGGAATCAAGTTTGTTTATTCACAATAATGTGTTCACAGAAATATGGCACCTGTAATGGGCTGAACTATGTCCTACCCCAATTCATGTGTTGAAGCGCTAGCCCACCCTGTACCTCAGAATGTGACTGCTATTTGGAGATGGGGCCTTTAAAGAAGTAATTAAGTTAAAATGAAATCACTAGGGTGGGCCCTAATCCAGTATAATTGGTGTCCACATAAGAAGAGGAGATTAGGACACAGACAACCAGACTGAGGATTTGAGCACATAAAGAGAAGACAGCAAATCACAAGTCAAGGAGAGAGGCCTCAGGAGAGGCCAAACCTGCTGACACCTTGATCTTGGACTCCTAGCCTCCACAAGAGCAAGATAATAAATTTCTGTTATTTAAGTCACACAGTCTGGGATATTATGGTAGCCCTGGCAAATTAGTATAGCACTTTATAACTCTATTTTTGTCCTCTATTCCCAGAATCAAGATTTATGAAAGAGACAACCCTCCAATTTCTATGCCTGATATTCAAACCTGTCACCAGGATATGTAAAGTACAAATAAATGCACATTTATAAATATTATGTGCTGAATTCATTTAACATAAAGTTTTTATTGTGTCTTTTAGCCAGTAAAGATAAAGATTTTGATATTTTCTATTTCAGATTTATGCCTGATGTAATTGTTTATACTTTTCTGTACACAATAGCTTTGTTTCCAATATTAGATACATCTACATTTTCTAATAGGTACATATACAAAAGAAAAACAAACTACATTGCTCAAAATATGCTCCCAAAATGGCTACAAGAACCTAAGTAATACATAGTTTCCTATAAAAATCGGGGTTTCTGTTTTGTTTTGTTTTTTAAAGTTTTATTTATTTATTTATTTATTTATTTATTTATTTATTTATTTATTTGATTTATTTTGAAAGGGAGAGTGTGTGAGCAGGGAAGGGGCAGAGAGAGACAGGATCTCAAGCAGGCTCCACAGTGGAAGCAGGGAACCCAATGTGGGGCTCGATCCCATGAACCATGGGACCATGACCTGAGCTGAAATCAAGAGTCAGACATTTAAATGACTGAGCCACCCAAGCACCCCAGGGGTCCTGTTTTTAATTCCAATTTAACACAGTCATTTTAATCTTCATTTGGACAGCTAACATGCATATTATAAAACCAGAGAAACATATTATAAAACCAGAGATTATAAAACCAGTCATCATCTTAAGATAACATGTATTGAGCCTTGACACTGGAATAGCACAACGCTAAGATTTTACGTTTAATCCTTATACCAACCCTATGAGACAAAACTAAGGCTCAAAGATATTTAATAATAGATAGTCATATAACTAGTCATTTATGGAGCCAGCAATTTATGGAACTAGTAGTCTGTGAACCAAAATTTGATTTCAGATTTTATTTTCCTTTCAAAATCTGTTCCTGGGGTGCCTGGGTGGCTCAGTCAGTTAAGCATCTGATGCGGTCCATGAGTTCGAGCCCTGCATCGGGCTCTGTGCTGACAGCTCAGAGCCTGGAGCTTACTTCAGATTCTGTGTCTCCCTCTCTCTCTGCCTCTCCCCAATCACACTCTGTTTCTCTCTGTCTCTCAAAACTAAATAAATGTTAAAACAAATTTTTTTAATAAAATAAAATCTGTTCTTAAACATATGTATAAATTATTTTGCTTTATCCTGGTAGATTTGTATATGTATGCATTTGCTTGTATTTTACTAAACCCAAAACAAATGACAGGTAAAGGGATTTAAAACATGTTCAATGGTGGGGCTTCTGGGTAGCTTAGTCAGTTAAGGGTTGACTCTTGATTTAGGCTCAGGTCATGATCCCATGGTTCACAGGATTGAGCCCTGAGTCAGGCTCTGTGCTGTCAGCACAGAATTTGCTTGGGATTCTCTCTTATTCTCTCTCTGCCCCTCCCCTGCTTGCATGCACTCTAAATAAATAAATACATAAATACATACATACATAAACAAATATGTTCAATAGTAATTCAATGACGTTTTAAAATACTGAGCCCTGCGGCACCTGGGTGGCTCAGTTGAATGAGAGTCTGACTCAGGTCATGATCTCATGGTTCATGAGTTTGAGCCCCACATCGGGGCTCTGTGCTGACAGCTCAGAGCTTGGAGCCTGATTCTGTCTCCCTTGCTCTCTGCCCCTCCCCCGCTTGCGCGCGCACTCTCTCTCTCTCAAATATAAATAAACATTAATTTTTTTTAAATGAGACCAACACCTTATTAAAAGTAACTATTTAAAAGATCACTTAACAGGGGCGCCTGGGTGGCGCAGTCGGTTAAGCGTCCGACTTCGGCCAGGTCACGATCTCGCGGTCCGTGAGTTCGAGCTCCACGTTGGGCTCTGGGCTGACAGCTCAGAGCCTGGAGCCTGTTTCAGATTCTGTGTCTCCCTCTCTCTCTGCCCCTCGCCCGTTCATGCTCTGTCTCTCTCTGTCTCAAAAATAAATAAACGTTAAAAAAAAAAAATTTAAAAGATTACTTAACAAAGTTACCTTTCGAACAAATGATTTCCTGTACTCATTCATTTCACCAATAATGGCACGTTTGAATTCTCCGTAATCAACCTTGCCACTGTCATTGCCATTCAGAATTTGCCATGCAGGTTCAAAATCCTAAAAATATTCACACAGATACCGTTGTTTCACCTTGAAATTGTATATGACCACAACAAAACTCATCTCAATAGTATTCTGTTACTACTTTAGCCCCAGACAAGGTAACAGACTTAATTTAAAACTTTGAAAAAGTTATATATAAACCCAAACAAAAGCACTAAGAAAGCTTACAAAGGCACTAAGAAAGCTATTTAAAGGGACTCTGTGGTAAACAGTTCTGTAAGTTAAGGACCATTTAGGAGTGGCAATGTCACAAATTTATATTTTCAGTTCAATTCCTTTCTATACAAAAATGTTTACCATTTACTTGAAGTTGAACACTGGATATGTTTAATGTAGTCACTTCAGGTTCTGTAATGCTTCAAAAGCATCAGGACCACTCACAGTATTTCTAGTCTTCATGTTTCAAAGTACAGAAGATTTGAATGGCTCCAATATTATTCCATAACTCACACTGAAAGGTGTTATTTTGAGTCAAACCTTATGTCAGTTGGTTCATTTTACCATTGCCACTTATTCCTTTGCAAATGCACAACTTAGTAGAATATTCTATTCACAGAATTCCTAACAACAAAGAAATTACAGCATGAGGTTTTCTTAAACTAAGGTAAATATACTTTAAATGTTTCAGTCAAGTTGTTAGCTTTAAGTGAGAATGTAAATAGGGTATCTAGCAAGGTGATTCACAAATAGGTACTCAAAAAAAATTCCCTTCCACTTCCTCCTAATTTTTTCAACTAAAATTCTAATATGAAAACTCTATCTTAAGATGCCCTGCCCCCCACCACTTTTCAACTACTCCTAATTTGTCTGTCATAATGCCCAGTACACGACTGACTTTAAGTATCTGTAAAATGTGCTGTTAAGTTTAACAATAAGCCTGATGGAGCACCTGATGGGTGGCTCAGTCTGATAAGCATCTGACTCATGGTTCAGCGCAGGTCATGACCTCACGGTTTCGTGGGTTGAGGTCCCACATCTGGCTCTGTGCTGGCAGCGAGGAGCCTGCTTGAGATTCTGTCACCCCCTCTCTCTCTACCCCTCTCCCAATCACTCTCTCTGTCTCTCAAAATAAATAAATAAACTTAAAAAAATAATAAAAATAAGGCATGTTCCCATGAAATTTTCTCATCTGAGGTTCAAAGAAACTCTGACTAGAGGTAGTATCTGTGGATTGTCCAGGCAAAACCTGTCAATTAGAAAAGTTAAAAGACCAATTCAAAATCACACAGTTGAAGTAGTAAGGCCAGAACTTGAATCTATACCTCATAAATTCAATTTCCAGTGTTCCCTCCACAAAATATACTATGTCTTGTGACAAGACCGTTTGAAGCAAGAGAGCAACGCAAGAGAATCCCTTATCCGAAACCCTTGAGGTAGTCGTGTTTCAAATTCGCTATTAGAATAAAATCAAACTTAAGATGGCATGAAAGGCTTTAATGTAATAGAACCGTGCTAGGCTTATTTCTCTCCATTCTTCTCTGTTCCTTCCATTCATATATCTACCCATGTAAACTAATGCATCGCCTGTTTACTCAGCACTTGCGTATGCAAGGTTCTACTTGAGGTGTTACAGCAGGAAACCAGAAGCACCTTGGTGTCTTCCCAGATGGAACTTATACCCTACTTGCCAGAAAAGCCAGAGAATACTTGCAAAGTGGTATGAAGAAAATAAAATAGGAAATGGTATAGAGAGGACTGGAGATCGGATGGGGTACTCCTTTAGGCAGGGCTATCAGCATAGCGCTCCCAGTAGAGAAAGCCTGAATGATGGAAAATCCAGCCATGCAAAGGTCTAGTGGGAGATTGCCCCCAGCATAGAGAACAGGATGGTAATGGCTCTGGTCAGGGTAGGAGGTGTGAGGGTGACCTTCTGCCATTCCTAGAACAGGCTATACTCCCTTTCCCCTTCATGCCTTTACATGTGCTTCTCCTTTTGTGGTCTCGCTGTCTGATCCACACTCCTCCTCCCCTCTTGTCTGTTTAGTTCTTCCTCATCCTTCAAAAGACAGCTCAGCTATACCCTCCTGCAGGAGTCCGATGATCTTCCCTCCCCTTCCCCATAAGCTGGCTTGGAAAATATCCCATGTGTTCTGAAAGCATTCTCCACTTAACACATAAAGTGTTTTGTAATCTATTTATATTTCTTTTCCTTTGATTATGAAGACCTTAAGAGTACAGAGTATGTGTTCTCGGAGCTGAGAACAATGCCTTCTTATTAGGCTCTTGTTAAATGTAGGAGGGAGGAATGAATATTGAAATTTTAAAAAACCAACAGGACTTGTCGCTTGATGGCTAACACTGATTATGAGGCACAAAGAAAGAGACACATGAGCTACTAAAAATCTCACTAGAAAAATGAATAATACCACTTAAGAATACTATGTTACTCTTTGCAGCACGTACGTTTTCGGACACTTCTAAGTGAAATGCTTTTAGAGCTTGCTTAAAATCTGCCTTAGCTAAAAGTCCAGTTCCTTCCTTGTCCAGTTGTTGGAGGTATTTCCCCAATCCAGTCAAAATGCGAACACCTCTTTTGTGTAGCTGTTCCTTTAGCGCATCTGTTCAGGAAGAAGAGAGATGGAAACCAACTGGTCTAATGTATAAATGTATCAAATTACAATTGTCTCTCTTGTAGAATTAAAGGTGATGTAAGTGATACAAGGGATGTGCTTGCTTATGCAACTAGATGTTGCGTGTGACTGACAAAAGAGTTTGGAAAATAGAATGCTTTTAGTAGAGTGTTATATACAAAAATCACATGTAAATATACTAGAACTATAGCACCACTGTGTGGTGGAGTGCTGTATTTTAAATATACAAAAATAATGGGTCACTTTATCGGGATGAAAATAATCCAAGTGTTACAAATAAAATCTTAGTTTCTACTTTCCAGGCTTCCTCTTCATCTAATGATCCCACATCTTTAATCTCTTTCCTCTTTCCCATAATGATAAAATTGATGCCAGGCCAGTCACTCCAAAACCATGAGTTCAACATTTCTAAAATAGTTTGAAATCATCAAAGGATAATTTACATATTAAATAGCATCAAGGCTTTGGAATGTTATCGTATACTTACACATTTAAAGTAGCCCTTTCTTCTAGGAATGTTTACGTTATATTCTCAAGCTCTTAAAATTCTCTTTGTGGGTCAGTGATTACATTTAACACAGTTTGTGCCATCATTACTTAAGAAAATATAGTTAACGTTACTAGAGCAGTTATTGAACACAATAAAGAACACACGTCACTGGATTCAGCAGTGACAAATATTGTACTGACCGTGACAGAACAGAGAAAATAATTTACTAACAATAACATGAAGAATATTGGACAGTTCAAGCACCAATCCCAGACCACCTTTTTTAAATGTTTATTTATTTATTTTGAGAGAGAGTGCGAGCAAGCAGGGGAGGGGCAGGGAGAAAAGGAAAGAGAGAATCCCAAGCAGTCTCCATACTGTCAGCACAGAGCCTGGAGCAGGGCTCAAACCCACAGCCCTGGGATGATGACCTGAGCCAAAATCAAGAGTCGGACACCCAACTGGGCTCAACTGAGTCACCCAGGCACACCAAATATAAGAATTATAGAAAGTACTAGGGGAGAGGAACCGGGATGGTGGAACAGCATGGAAGCTTTTTGTGTGTCTCGTGTCCATGAAATACAGCCAGACCAACACTAAACCATCCTACACACATAGAAAACTGACTGGAGGATTAACACAACAATCTGCACAACCTAAACCACAGAATTCAGCAGGTACACAGCACAGAGAGCTGAACTTGGGGAGCAAGAAGTCGTGAAAGGTAGAGAACCACTTTTGCGGGCAGAGAGAGGACAGAGACTGGGGCGGGGGAAGAATATGGGAAAAGCACCCCTCCCCAAAAGCAGCTGGAGAGAAAGTGGAAAGTTGGAAACAGACGCAGGGACTAAACTAAAAAGGGAGAAAGGAGAAAGGAGAGGGTTTAAATTCCATTAAGACTGTAAACAAGGGGAGCACAAAGGCTGCAACTCCACAGCTCGACACCTGGCGGTGCTCTGGTGGGAAGGGCGAATCCCCAGGAGCAGAGTGGGGTCCAGGAGGATCTCAGGCCACATGGGGAAAAGCGGTTCCACTGCTGGAAGGACATTTGGTAGAGACTGTTGAAGCCACCTGGTCCCAGCAGACCCCAGAGAACAGCCACATTCGCTGTTGCTAGAACAAGGTCATTAAGGGTGAAGCCTGGTGCCAGACGTGTGTTGTGATTTTCCATAATCCCTGAAAAGCTGCTGCAACACTATCTCGCAAACTTTTTCTGCGGTGGGCTGGCACCTAGCCTCAGTCTCGGGGCACCGGCAGCAGCAGGGTCTGGCAGGCGTTCCTGGTGCAGCTGGCATTTGGCCATTGCTCAATGAGACCCTCCCGCGGAGGGGCGGAACGGGTCAAAGTTGCAGTCCTTTGGAAGTAAGGGGCTGGGGAAAACAGCCACATCTGAGACAAAACTTGGGAGAGAGGTACTGCCTGGGGCCTGGTCACAGAGAGTGAAAAAGCAGGGAGTGGATGAAAGCTGAAGACTGAGGACGAGTGCGCAAACTGGGTAGCTGGGTAGTACCATTTTCACCGGTTCCATGCATGCACATGCGCATACGCACCTACGAGCTCTGCAACAATCCACCCCAGTAGGCTAGCAGTGCCATCTAGTGGAGAGCAGAGCTGTTACACTGAGCC